TTCTAACTTGTACATATATAATGCATAGTGGAATTCTCCAACATGTTTTAAGATCCTCTCTTTTATCAATTCTTGTAAATTTTACTTAATTCAGCTTATGGCTGCAATGTAAATTTCAATAAACTATCTATCTATCTATCTACCGTTCGGGCTTTACTTTTGAGAGTGAGTGCGAGTGCGCACTAAGCCACTAATTACCATGCATGGGAGTGCGCACATTATCATTATGAGAGTGAGTTTATTTAAATAAATAAGAGCGAGTTAATTAGTATTCATGCATACAGGGGTGAGGTAATTAGTATACAAGTGAGGATGTGCACATGACATCATAATGATATGCAAGACATGTTCGGGCAAGACTTGTTGACTAGACAATTTTTAGCATCCCCAGCGCTACCGGCAGAAACTGGTCGGCAGTTTTTTATGAGGTTTGAAGGTCGGGGTAGAGGTTTGAAGGTCGGGGTAGAGGTTTGAAAGTCGAGGTCGACGTTTGAAAGTCGAGGTCGAGGTTTGAAAGTCGAGGTTTGAAAGTCGAGGTTTGAAAGTCGAGGTTTGAAAGTCAAGGTTTGAAAGTCGGGGTTTGAAAGTCGAAGTCGGGGTTTGAAAGTCGAGGTTTGAAAGTCGAGGTTTGAAAGTCGAGGTCGAGGTTTGAAAGTCGAAGACGAGGTTTGAAAGTCGAGGTCGAGGTTTGAAAGTTGAGGTTTGAAAGTCGAGGTCGAAAGTCGAGGTCGAGGTTTGAAAGTCGAGGTTTGAAAGTCGAAGACGAGGTTTGAAAGTCGAGGTTTGAAAGTCGAGGTCGAGGTTTGAAAGTGGAGGTTTGAAAGTTGAGGTTTGAAAGTTGAAGTCGAGGTTTGAAAGTCGAGGTTTGAAAGTCGAGGTTGAGGTTTGAAAGTCGATGTTTGAAAGTCGAGGTCGAAAGTCGAGGTTTGAAAGTCGAAGACGAGGTTTGAAAGTCGAGGTTGAGGTTTGAAAGTCGAGGGTCGAAAGTCGAGGTATGAAAGTCGAGGTTCGAAAGTCGAAGTTGAGGTTTGAAAGTCGAAGACGAAGTTTGAAAGTCGAGGTCGAGATTTGAAAGTCGAGGTTGGAAAGTCGAGGTTGAGGGTCGAAAAATTGATTTCATTGGTACTTTTGAATTTGAGTAGAATGCTGAATGGTGTAAAAACTTTGAAAAA